GTACATGTACCAGGTAGTTATTGAGTAGTGATGGTACATGTACCAGGTAGTTATTGAGTAGTGAGGTACATGTACCAGGTAGTTATTGAGTAGTGATGGTACATGTACCAGGTAGTTATTGAGTAGTGAGGTACATGTACCAGGTAGTGATTGAGTAGTGATGGTACATGTACCAGGTAGTTATTGAGTAGTGAGGTACATGTACCAGGTAGTTATTGAGTAGTGATGGTACATGTACCAGGTAGTTATTGAGTAGTGAGGTACATGTACCAGGTAGTTATTGAGTAGTGATGGGACACGTACCAGGTATGTATCATTTAGTGATGCTACTTTGAACAAACAGTAATTTAACTTTGATTATACGTCTGTTATGAACATATAGTACATTTAAAAATTAATTATCGTGATTTCCTGAAGGAAATTCCGCTTTTAAACATACCCAGGGGAACCATAAAGGACGCCATGGGATGCCAAAAGACACCAAAGGACCACGTTGGACATCGGAGGACACCAACAGACCACAAAGGACACCAGAGGACCCCAAAATACACATCAAAGGACCACGTAGGACATAGAAAGACACCAGAGGACCAAGTAGGACACCAGGGGACCCCAAAGGACACATTAAAGGACCACGTAGAACATAGGAAGACACCCGGAGACCAAAAAGGACACCAGAGGACCCCAAAAGACACATCAGAAGACCACGTATGACATAGGAGGACACCAAAAGACCCCAAAGGACACATCAGAGGACAACGTAGGACATAGGAAGACACCAGGAGACAACAAAGGACACCAGGGGATCCCAAAGGACACATCAGAGGACCACTTAGAACATAGGAGGACACAAAAAGACAACAAAGGACACCATGGGACCCTTGGACAGCACCAAAGGTCCCTAAAGGACACAGGGGGAGGGGCTACTCACCATCTGGCGACGGGGGTCGGCGACCCCGACGCCCTGACCTCGAAGGTGTGGTCGTTACTGAGCTTCTTCTCGGTCTCAGGGTCGAGCCCCCGACTGATCTGAGGGGGCGAGTCGCAGAGCACGGCAAACTGCTCCGACCTCTGACCGATGTCGTTACTGGCCATCACCTGGGTTGGTAATAAGGGTAATAGTTACTGTAATAGTTACTGGTACTGTCCATAACCGGCTCCGACCTCTGACCGATGTCGTTACTGGCCATCACCTGGGTTGGTAATACGGGTAATAGTTACTGGTACTGTCCATAACCTGTCTCTTATACACATNGAGAGAGAGGGAATGAGGGGAATGAAAAGCAGCTTTACAACATAGGTATTAATATAGGTATATAGTATAGGTATAGGTATAGGTATATAATATATAATATTATATATTATATATAACAATATATAATATTATATATAAGTATATAACATTGGTATTATAAAGGGACAATAAAGAAATAAATGTGTCTAATTGGTCAAAATGTTGGGATTTTTGCTTCTGCAGGTAGCACGGATACGCCTCTTTTACCGCGCTAAGGTAGGTCTATATGACTCACACTGGGCAAGAAGAGCGTCGGTGTTTGTTAAGAGTTCCCCTAATTTCACCGAGAGTATTATAGGGTATTCGATAGGTACTTAAAAGTATTATTTAGCAATGGTAGAGCAATGGGTGTACATCGAGCTTGTACTAGTATAGGTATTATATATATATATAATATCGGTGTTACCTAGGTATAATATATAATAGGTATATAAGGTTCATAGATATCATAGATAAGTTAATGGGTATAATATGGTACTAATAGATATGTGAGGGGCATAGATATAAGTCAATGGGTATAATATATGGTACTATTAGGTATATAAGGTTCATAGACAAGTCTGTGGGTATAATAAGCTACTAACAAGTATATGAAGTCAATAGAAAAGTTAATGCGTATATGGTACTAATAAGGTATATGAGGTTCGAAAATAAGTCTATGGGCATAAAATGGTACTACTAGATATATAAGGTTTATAGGTAAGTCAATGGGTATAATATGGGACTAATACGTATATGTGTTTCATATATAAGCCTATTGGTATAATATAACAATAATAGGTATACGAGGTTCATAGACAAGTCAATGGGTATAAAATGCTACTAGTTAACCTACCACTAGCTTGTAGACGCCCTTATCCTTGCGGTCGAGTTTGCGGATCTTGAGCATGTAGAAGTTGTCGTCCTTCACCATGCGGAACTTCTCGTCACCCATGATCTCCTTGCCGTCCTTGTACCTGTCGTCCATGGTACCAAGTAGTGATGGTAGACGTACCAGGTAGTGATGGTACATGTACCAGGTAGTGATGGTACATGTACCAGGTAGTGATGGCACATGTACCAGGTAGTGATGGCACATGTACCAGGTAGTTATTGTACATGTACCAGGTAGTTATTGAGTAGTGATGGTACTTTGATCAGGCATTAATTTTTACTTCAATTAGGTAGCTGTAATGTACTAATAGTATATTTATCAATTAGTTGACGTGCATTTCTGAAGGAAATTCAGCTTTTACACATAGCCGGGGGAAACACAAAGAACACCAAAGGACCACGTAGGACATAGGAAGACACCAAGAGACCACAAAGGACGCCACCAGAGTTCCCTATAGGACACGTGGGCTACTCACCACCTGGCGACGGGGGTCGGCGACCCCGACGCCCTGACCTCGAAGGTGTGGTCGTTACTGAGCTTCTTCTCGGTCTCGGGGTCGAGTCCACGACTGATCTGGGGGGGCGAGTCGCAGAGCACGGCAAACTGCTCCGACCTCTGACCGATGTCGTTACTGGCCATCACCTGAGTTGGTAATAAAGGTAATAGTTGGGTTACTGGCCATCACCTGAGTTGGTAATAAGGGTAATAGTTACTGGTACTGTCCATAACCTGCTCCGACCTTTGACCGATGTCGTTACTGGCCATCACCTGGGTTGGTAATAAGGGTAATAGTAGAGTTACTGGCCATCACCTGGGTTGGTGATAAGGGTAATAGTAGAGTTACTGGCCATCACCTGAGTTGGTAATAAGGGTAATAGTTGGGTTACTGGCCATCACCTGGGTGGGTAATAAGGGTAATAGTTATGTTATTGGCCATCAACTCACGTTAGAGGTACAGTGGCCTCTACAGTGACTCACGTTATAGTTACAGTGACTCACGTTATAGTTACAGTAACTCACGTTATAGTTACAGTGACTCACGTTACAGTTACAGTGACTCACGTTATAGTTACAGTTACTCACGTTATAGTTACAGCGACTCACGTTATAGTTACAGTGACTCACGTTATAGTTACAGTAACTCACGTTACAGTTACAGTGACTCACGTTATAGTTGCCGCAGTCTCCCAGCTCCATGCAGGAAATCTTGAAGGCAAAAATTGTGTCCGAAATTTTCTCGAATTTGATGCGCCCGCCTTCAGCCATTTCCTTGCCGTCCTTGAACCTGCGGGCATCAGGGGCTACATCAAAGACTTCATCAAGGACTATATCAAGGACTGCATCAATGACTACATCAAGGACTGCATTAAAGGATTAAGAATTCGTCAAAGTCATCAGCAAGGACTACATCAAAGATTTCATCACAGACGTCATGAAAGGCTTCATCAAAGACTTCATCAGAGACTTCATCAGAGACTTCATCAAAGGTTTCATCAAAAACTTCATCAAGAACCACATCAAGGACTACATCAAGGAGAACTTCATGTAAACCACCAGGAGCTACATCGAGGACTACCTTAAGGACTACCTCAAGGACTGCATCAAGAACTACATCAAGGGCTACATCAAGGACTACATCAAGGACTACATCAAAGACTGCATCAAGGACTACATCAAGGACTACATCAAGGACTACATCAAGGACTACATCAAAGACTGCATCAAGGACTACATCAGAGACTACCGTACATCAAAGACTACATCAGGGATTACATCAAGGACTACATCAAGGACTACATCAAGGAATACATCAAGGACTACATCAAGGACTACATCAAAGACTGCATCAAGGACTACATCAAGGACTACATCAAGGACTACATCAAGGACTACATCAAGGACTACATCAAGCACTGCATCAAGGACTACATCAAGGACTACATCAAGGACT